ATTACATCCCTCGATCTGCTGGCAATGCCCCTATGTATACATCCCAAAATGCCATTGGCCTTCTTGGCAACAAGGGCACGCAACAAGGGCACATCCTTTGGAAGACTATTCCAATGAGTCTTCAATGTTAGGAATCTATAGACAGGTACCAAGATCTTGGTTTACAAGGCAGTTGTCATCCCCACCCTTCTCTGTGGGTGTGAGACCTGGGTAACCTTCCGAGAACGTCTCAAGCAGCTGGGAAGACCGACGCAGTAACATCAGGGTTCTCTCTGCAGCCAACATAGTATAGAAACACAGGTATAGAAGTATACAGGCACAGTATAGAAGCATAGGTCATGAAATACCAACTCTGCTGGGCTGGCCACTGTGTACATATGCCGACACTCTCCTTCCGAAGCAAGTACTCTTCTCTCAGTTAAGTCAGGGAAGAAGGGCTCGCGGAGGGCAGCGGAAACGTTTTAAAGACATACTGAAAGTACATCTTAAAAAGGGAGACATCAACCCAAGAGACTGGGAGGACTTGGCGCAGAACAGAACCCAGTGGTGCCACACCATACACCAAGCCACAGCTCACTTTGAGGAGAACAGACGTGCTCATGAGACAGAGAAGCAACAAAGGAGGAAAGAAAGGGCACAACACTCTAGCCAACAACTCTGTCTCCTCCAAGATTACATCTGTCACTTCTGTGGGAAAATCTGCAGGGACGAATTGGGCTCCTCAGCCACTTAAATACTCACCAGGGAACCCCCTTGGCAGATGTCATCCTTGCATTGAGCGATAGCAGAAGAAGTCAAACCGCTACTTCAGCAAATGAACAAAGGTTGCATGCTGAGGGAAATACGCAGTTTCTTGGTGAGGAAGAATAGCTACAGTCAAATTGAATATTTTGTCAAGGATATCCTCCTTGTTTCAAAATCTTCTGGGAAAGCTCTAGCAAGAATACAAGGAATGTTAGAATTCATATAGAATAAGAAAAGAGAGAGAGTGCAGATACTTTACAGGTCCATTAAATAGGGTGAACCAGTTGTTCCAAATTTTACATGGTACTATCAAGCCAGCCAGCTCAAGCAAACACTGGGTCTTTATTGAACAGGAAAATTATGGCAATCTAAATATTGCTAGGATAGCACGGATTAAAACAAACCAAATCCACCTATGCATATGTCTTCATGCAATCTGTGTAAATCAAGGGTGACCAACCTGTGGTTCTTCAGAAGATAATAGCCAGCTCCTTGTCTAGGCACCAACTCTCGGGCTGGAGCTACAGGTGCCAACTTTCCAATGTGCTGGGGGGTGCTCACTGCTCAACCCCTGGCTCTGCCACAGGCCCTGCCCCCACCCCTGAGCCTGCCATGCCCTCGCTCCTCCCCCTTTCCCCCAGAGTCTCCTGCACACCACGAAACAGCTGATGTGGAGGGAAGGGGAGGCAGTGATTGGCGGGGCTGCTGGTGGGTGGGAGACGCTGGGAACAGGGCAGGAGCTGATGCAGGGGCTGCTGACGTATTACTGTGGCTCTTTGGCAATGTACATTGATAAATTCTGGCTTCTTCTCAGGTTCAGGTTGGCCACACCCGATATAGATTCTTTAGCAAAGACTACTGTATGGGTTTGGGATAGAACCAGAGATAAGACGTTCCATTTCTTTGCTAATTACACCCATTGCAAATAATCCAAATCATACAGCAGAGTTTTAAACTTTTGGAGAGCAATGAAATTCATGTGTTTGGCCAACTGTTCACCAAAGAACCTTTTCTAACTCATTTAGAAATCAAAACCTGCTTTAACTGGCCTACTCTCCTGTAGTCCCAGTACTTTCAAGTTAGGCATTATGTTTCCCAATTTCCTAGGAAACTTTTCCATAGAAAGCCAACTTTAGTAGAAATGATGGCTTCTTGTTGATTAGAAAATAAAAAATTATAACTAATTTATGTCAATCTTTGCTGATGAATTTCCTAACAAAGAAACATATTCACAAAGAAAAAAAGAATTGGATAGATAAATTACCCCAGAGGAATTGGCTTTGATCTGTGGGGGAAAAAGCCAGCAACCTCAGTCTGTAGCAAAATAAAAGAAAATTCCTTAATATCTATTTCGGTGGTACCTCACATCAGTCAGGTTTAAAAAAATATAGTGTGTGAATTGGGATAAAAGTTGGTGAAATTGTGGTGAAAGAGGTACAGTGCACCTGTCCAGTTATTAGAGAATTTTGGGATGTGCTGCATAATGAAATATTATAAATTGTTGGATATTTATTACTGTTAATAGCTATAGTGACAGACAGGAACTGTCTGTTTACATGGCTAATCATTAAACAAGATATAAGTAAACACATACAATTAGTAAAAAGAAAAGGAGTACTAGCGGCACCTTAGAGACTAACCAATTTATTTGAGTATAAGCTTTCATGAGCTACAGCTCACTTCATCGGATGCATTCAGTGGAAAATACAGTGAGGAGATGATTTATAAACACACAGAACATGAAAAAATGGGTGTTTGTCATACACATTGTAAGGAGAGTGATCACTTAAGATGAGCTATTACCAGCAGGAGAGTGGGGTGGGGGGGCGAGGGGGGGGACCTTTTGTAGTGATAATCAAGGTGGGTCATTGCCAGCAGTTAACAGGAACGTTTGAGGAGCGGTGGGGGGAAAAAAACATGGGGAAATAGTTTTACTTTGTGTAATGACACATCCACTCCCAGTGTCTATTCAAGCCTAAGTTAATTGTATCCAATTTGCAAATTAATTCCAATTCAGCAGTCTCTCGTTGGAGTCTGTTTTGAAGTCTTTTTGTTGTAATATTGCGACCTTTAGGTCTGTAATCGAGTGACCAGAGAGATTGAAGTGTTCTCCAACTGGTTTATGAATGTTATAATTCTTGACATCTGATCTGTGTCCATTTATTCTTTTACGTAGAGACTGTCCAGTTTGACCAATGTACATGGCAGAGGGGCATTGCTGGCACATGATGGCATATATCACATTGGTAGATGTGCAGGTGAATGAGCCTCTGATAGTGTAGCTGATGTGATTAGGCCCTATGATGGTGTCCACTGAATAGATATGTGGACACAGTTGGCAACGGGCTTTGTTGCAATGATAGGTTCCTGGATTAGTGGTTCTGTTGTGTGGTGTGTGGTTGCTGTTGAGTATTTGCTTCAGGTTGGGGCGCTGTCTGTAGGCAAGGACTGGCCTGTCTCCCAAGATTTGTGAGAGTGATGGACAGGCCCAACAAAGAAAATAACAGAACGCCACTAGCCATCACCTTCAGCCCCCAACTAAACCTTCAGCTCTCCAACGCATCATCAAGGATCTACAGCCTATCCTGAAGGACGAGCCATCACTCTCACAAATCTTGATTTGCATGATTTCAATTAGATAATGTCACAATTACCAAATGATTACCAAAAAGCCCAGTAGGATTACCAGATGATCCTTCGATAATCCTCCTGGCGGAATTGGTCAGGTTCAAAGAATTAATTTAACATCTGCTAATAGCCGCTAGGTTACTCATAGCGCCTCATTGAAGGGGGGGGGAAAGGAATTAAAGGAATGGCTCCAAATACATTAAAGGAATGGCTCCAAAAAATATGGGCATTGTTATGGAAAGAATAATGCATCAATATCATACTCAACAAAACAGAGGGGCCAATAAATACTTAGATGTTTGGTTACCATTTATTGATTATTTAAAGTACATTCCCCTGCAAATAAATCCTAGCACACGAATCCAATTTTTTAATATTAAGGTTGATGGACATGGCTGGTTTGATAAATGAGTAGATTCAGTAGTTGCACTCGCTACAATCACCAGAAAACACAGCATGGCTAGTGGAAGGTGACTCATTCTAATATGGTAACATCCTACTAAATAGAAGCATAGAATCTCAGGGTTGGAAGGGACCTCAGGAGGTCATCTAGTCCAACCCCCTGCTCAAAGCAGGACCAATCCCCAATTTTTGCCCCAAATGGCCCCCTCAAGGATTGAACTCTCAATCCTGGGTTTAGCAGGCCAATGCTCAAACCACTGAACTATCCCTCCACCCGCACTGAGATTTGATTATTCCATTACTGTGTAATGTTTCTCTAACAAAGATAAGCTCAGTGTTGTAATCATTAATGCTTTGTTTCTGATTTACGTAGTAATGATTTGTAAACCTGTTGGAACTTCCTACGTAGTTATTTTAAATGATAAAGAAGTCCACAGCTGCTTGGAGCCCTGTCTAAAAGCAGTGCACTCCCATTGTTGCTTTCACTGGTGTAGCTGACCCATTGCTAGCACACGTGGGATATGTTTCAGAAAGCAGGCTAGTGTAAACACAGCCTGGTTGTATGCTAGGGAATAATCCTGCACTCTCAGGGAGACGGACGTAATAGGACTCTTCCTATCAACATATAGCTCCCTTCAGATCCAGTCACTATCACTTCACTTATTGGCCAGAATAGAATTCAGCCTTCCCTCCTAGCCAGGGGAGCTCAGGATCCAAACTCAGATCTCCTCCCCAACCTTGTGACTTGGTGAAGCCGTACACAGCTGTTACCAGTTTACTGCATTGTCCTTTGCCCTACAATGCCCTACAATCAACATTACTCTGTTGTTTGAAACAAGGTTTCTACTGCAGACCAGGTCTCTGAGCTTAGAATTTACCGTGGCTTGCTGTTCGCTCACTGAATTGGCTTGGACAGCCAGAAATAAGGAGAATATTCGTGAATTTTCCTTGTCTTTGGTGCAAATTAGACACAGTGAAAATTGCAGCTATCTTTGCCTAAAAGCAAGTCAGATTTAAATTATAGAGAACACTGTTATGCATATCTGTCCTGTGGCCTCTCTTCAGTGTGGCTCTGAAGTGAGCTGTAGCTCTCGAAAACTTATGCTCAAATAAATTGGTTAGTCTCTAAGGTGCCACTAGTACTCCTTTTCTTTTTACTCCGTTCTTTTGTTACTGTGCATAATTCTGGAAAGTAGAAGTTTGACAGAAACTTTTTCCTTTCGCAGAATAAGGACAATGGTGAACCTGAGAATAAGCACTTGAGAGAAGATGACGAAGAGGATGCCACCAAACACAAGTAATTTGTTTATTTTTCAGAGGGATGTCTCTGACTATGTGTTCTTTGTGCTGCTTTCCATGGTTTGCTAATTAGGATCTTTCCTTGGCTTCCAGTGCCCAGATATCTTAGTGTGAATTTACTCTCTCTCAGTGAAGATTATCTGACATTGAGGGACTACAGTGAAAAACCACAGACAGTGTAGCCCTAGCAAAAAAGAAATTATCAGTAAGAAATTTTCAGTTTCAGACACTTTAGGAAATTCAAACAGCCCTTCTGTTTGGGAATAACTCTCTAGGTATGTCTACACACCAAAGGAAAACCCATGGCTCGCCAGTGCCTGCTGGCTCAGGTGCTGCGCTGTTTCATGGCTGTGTAGACTTCCGGGCTCCAGCTGGAGCCCTGGGACCCTCCCGCTTCACAGGGTCCTAGAGCTTGGGTGCCACCCTGAGTCCAGACATCTGCACAGCAGTGAAACAGCCCCACCGCCCAAGCCCTGCAAGCCCAAGTCAGTTGGCACGGGCCAACCATGGGTGTCTAGTTGCTGTGTAGACATACCCTTCGGGACTGACACACAAGGGGAAGCCATCCCAAACAAAGGATTATCAGAATCTGAACACAATGTAGCCTTCTTCCATGGTTATGTCTTTGTCTTCTCCTGACATGCCTTAAACATGGAGTTATTTTTGGCACCCATGAGTGAAGGCCCAGAGGCCAAATGGGGCTCACATTAATTGTGGCCTGCTGCTGCGCTTTCCTTGTAACTACACGGTGTAAAGACAAAGTTGATCAACTACAGGCTTTCCTTGATGGCAAAATCCACTAACTCTGTCGTTGGTTTTGCCACCAATAAGTATTTGCAGGTCCCAACAGAGGACTTGGGGGGGGGGCGCTTTGAATTTAGTGCGATCAAGGGAGTTTTACGTTCTTCCTCACCATCTGGCAGTGCAGAAATCCCCCTGCTGGGGAGCTGCATTTGAACTGCTGCCTCTGCACATGAGCACTTGCTCAATGGTGCTGACAGGAGCAGAGTGACACTACTGTGTCCCTGGTCTATTTCAATTCTGCTGCGGAAGTGCGGTGTGCAAGGACCGCCCGGGTGTCATTCTGACTGGGGTTGAGAGCGGCTCTTGGGATGGAACATGGCGAAGAGGCAGACTTGTGTATCAAACTGTTCTTGTACCTGAAAGGGTAGAGGGGCCCTGCAGAAGGTAAGTGAGCTGACAGGCCAAGAGTTGAAGATATAGAGCTTGGTGAATAATGAATGAGCTGCTATTACTTTCCAGCCCTCTGCCACTTGATATACTGAGTGAGCGACAAGATGATGCAGCATATTGTGACGCTGTGACTAGACGTGTCAGACCTGTGGCATCTCTGCCATACGAGATGGCATTATTGTGCCATCAGTGATGCATTCTGACATCCACTCCCTGGTTTCTAATGATATTAATGTTCTCTTTGGAGAGCCCTAACAGTGACGTAAAAACAGCCTCTCTTGACTTTCAGCCCTATGGTTCCTCCCTTTTAAATGTTGATGTATTGTCAGGCAGCGCAATGAGGTGCCAGAAGTCACATTGTTTCATACCAAACCTTCAGCCTGTGTACTTTGGAGTTGGCAAACCACCTTCTCCTCCAGGGACTATTGGAAACTCCTGTCATCTCCTGACCTTTGGCTGGTGCCATAAAGGCCAAAGGGGTTTTCCACTTGTGTACAGTGTCCGTGAAACTTCAGAGTAGCTGTACAAGAGAAGAAAGCTTTAAGTGTGACACCAGCTGCTCCCTGTCAGAAGTCCGTTTTGTATCAATGGGCCTAACTCTGCCCCCGGGTGCATGCTTGGGTCTAGGTCAGTGGGAGTCGCATGCTTTTGAAGGCACAATTTGTTGTAAAAAGAGTAAAGTTTGCTTTCTGTAGCTATTACGATCCAATAGATTGCAAGACCCTTGTGTGTGTCTCTCCAACTACTCTCTGTGTTGTCAGGATCCAAATGTAACTTTGCAAGGCAAATTAGAACAGTCTCTTCTCTGTAGTGGATGTTTGAATCTCAAATTCAGGTTTAAGTGTTCAGCTGATAGAGATATTAGCTTTGCAATTAAACTTCTTTGATGTACTTAAGAATTTCACTATTGGCTCACTCCTTTACCAGACAAATATTCTTTGGAATTCTTAGGAAACTGATACCTTGCTTTCATTCTAGATTTGCACCTTCCAGTAGTGTCTCTGAACTACCCCAGCCCCTTGAAACAGGGACTAGTGTGTGTACTGCCATAGTGCTTGTGAGTCTGGCTCGTCACAAAAGGTAGGCTGATCAGGTTGATCCTGAACTTGAGAAGCAGTAGGCTCTAGAAATCAACGCTTATGGGACAGCTGCTAGCTGTACCATAGTTAAGGTTGTAGGAGCATTTCTGTAGCACTGTAGAGGCTATGCAGCAGGCTAAGAAAAACCCTGTTGTCTGGAGTTGAAGACAACCAAAAACTTGATCCAGGCAAGTGAATTGTAATTGTCCACTAAATAATCTTATGACCTACACTTACACCCTGGATGTATTGTCTAACCAACGTGACTGACCTGAGTCTGAAAAAAGAGAACCGAGCCACCAGCTTTGGTTTCCTTGTGAAAACCATTGGAAGAAAATGATTTAGTTGCCTGCCTCCTCACCAAGCTTTGCTAAGCTCCTTCTGGCTGTCTTTGGCCAGGCGTACCTCCGGCTGCACTTGTGGTTGAGAGAGAGGATTACGTGATGCCAGTAGTGTAGCTACTGGCATGCTATGTGGCTGAATTAATAAATGCAAAGTAATGCACGTTGGACAGCATAATCCCAACGAAGCACACAAAATGATAGGGTCTAAATTAGCTGTAAACACTCCAAGAAAGAGTGGATAATTTTCTGAAAACATCGCCTCAATGAGCAGCAGTAGTTTAAAAAAAAAAAAAAAAAAGGTAACAGTGTTAGGGGCCGTTAGGAAAGGGCTACATAATAAAACAGAAAATATCATCATGCCACTGTATAAATCCATGATATACATACACCTTGAGTACTGCATACAGTTCTGGTTGCCTCATCTGAAATAAGATACTTTAGAATTGGGAAAAGTACAGAGAAGAGCAGCAAAACTGATTCGGGGTCTGGAACCGCTTCCACAGGGAGAGATTAAAAAGACGGGGACTGTTCAGATTGGCAGAGAGATGACTAAGGAGGGATGTGAGAGAGGTCTATAAAACCATGACTGGTGGGGAGAAAGTGACTAGGGAAGTGTTATTTACCCCTTCACACAACACAAGAACCAGGGATCACCTGATGAAATTACTGGGAAGCAGGTCTAAAACAAACAAAAGGCAGTACTTCTTCACACAACACACAGTCAACCTCTGGAACTCATTGCCAGGGGATATTGTGAAGGCCAAACATTGTAACTGGGTTAAAAAAAGAATTAGATAAGTTCTTGGAGGATCGGTCCATCAATGGCTATTAGCCAAGATGGTCAGGGATACAACTCAGTGCTCTGGGTGTCCCTAAGCCTCTGACTGCCAGAAGCTGGGACTTGATGACAGGGGATGGATCACTTGTTAATTGACCTGTTCAGTTCATTTCCTTTGAAGCATCTGTCATTGGCCACCGTCGGAAGACGGGATTCTGGGCTTGATGGACCATTGGTCTGACAGTATGGTCGTTTTTATATACCACAAAGAATGTGGCAATCATCTTTTTGTTGAATAACTCTGTTTAAAATCCAGGTGATCATTAGATAAGTTGCTTTAAAGAGAATTTTTCTAGCCCATTGGATAACTGTTGCACATGTGCTACAAACCTTGGAGAACCTGAACTGAGAAGATGGTTCCCAGGCTACAAGGCATTCGCCTAGGACTTGGGTGACCCAGGTTCAAGTCCCTCCTTTGCCACAGACTTCCTTCCTTGTGACCTTGGGCAAGTCATTTAGTTTCTATGCCTCAGTTCCCCATCTATAAAATTGGAGATGACAGCACTGCCCTACCCACATGGGTGCTGTGTGGATAAATACATTAAAGATACTGAGGCACTCACGTGGTACTGGGGTCAGATGAATACCAAAAGGAAAAAGATACTTCTGCATTAGTCTACAAATCCCACCACACTGACCCTCCTGGCTGGGACCATTCTGGAGTTGTCACTGTGGTTTAAATAGCACGGAAGACTTTTTTTAAAGCTACACATACAGTGCTTCAAACCCTGGTGAATTCTTGCTGGGTTTTCTTACCGTATTAATGGGGCTACTTTCAAGGAATCTCTTCTTTGTATATCCTTCAACGCAAGGATGATGTCTGCCAAAGGGGTTTATTGGCGGATTTTTAGGTGGCTGAGGTGCCCAATTCGTGCCCTGCAGATTTTCAGGTGTGGTCTTAGAGGAGACAGAGTTGTTGGCTGGAGTGTTGGGCCCTTTCTTTCCTCCTTTGTCACTTCTCTGTCTCATGAGCACGTCTGTTCTCCTCAAAGTGGGCTGTGGCTTGGTGCATGGTGCATATTCCCAAGGACGGCTGGGATCTCAAGATTGCATCTGTAAAGCCAAAATGCAACATTTTACAGAGGCACCGTTGTTCACACTTGACAGAGCAACGATTCTGCCGATCTTGAAGACAAGCACAGTGCACACAATAGCACAAACTGCCTCTCTCAAGGCAAGTGCACATAACCCACAAGAGCCCCAAAATGGTGAGTAACCACAGGGGCAGGGGGGACTTATTGTTCCAGGGCCATATTGTCCTCTGGGGTTCTGTGCCTTGGGGAGAGCCAACAGCTGCAGGGGGCCCCTATACTCACTGTCCCCACGTTTTCCACAGGCTGAGTTCGTCCTGGAAGATATCTGGCTGCTGAGGGTGACCTGGGAAGCAAGGGAGGTTGCACTCGCAACCATGCGGCTTCTGCCCTGGCCCTTATGCGGCTTGCCTGTGTGCAGCAATGGTCTCTCTCTCTCCCCCCATCCCCATGGCACAGTGGCGAGCATATGTTACCCTTACTGGGACAAGGAGCACGGTGGCTCTGCCAGG